GTGTTGCCATCATGGAGTTTAGATTAACAATTCTTAGTGCTGCCATGGCATATGAAGCTGCTTAAGCCTGAGTATTGGCTGGTGAGACATTCTGTTCTCCAGGAGACACCAAGACAGCCCGTCGTGCTGGGTAGGTGAGATTCTGGCCCTGGCCTTCTTATCTTATGGCCACAATTACAAGGCCCCTTATTTTGCCATCCAAAGTACCCGTTAGCAAGCTTAGAATGTCACTGTGAGAGGCTCAACCATGGGGCCACCTGAGCTCAACACAGATTAGCTAAGGGAATCAGATGCCATCAGGGCCGGTGCAGATTTATGTGTGTGTGTGTGTGTCCCTGCTAAAAGGTAAGAAGAAGGCAGGGGAAGACATTGAGATAGATTTTCACATCTCACCCATCTTCACACAGCATAGACCTTATGCACCCTTCACACACAAACTGTCACGACTACCAGTGTGGTCCAACATGCAAAACTATGTAACATCTACATTGACTATAGAAGACAGACAGAACGTAAACCGGTCCTTAGAATGGCCGGGTTAATACGTTGAAAGACAGAGTGGTTAAAGGGAAGCCGAGGTCAAGGAAGCCAGAAATTCACAAGATCAATAAGGAAAGCCAAGTCAGGAAAACCAGAGATAAGAATAGTCAGGAGTAGCCAGAGTCAAGGTACCGGGAAGATCAAATAACAAGAACAACGCACTCTCGGGAACAAGGAACTAGAGAACTTCAGGGGTTTAAATTTCATTTAATATCATTTAATATCCTTGTGCTGTGATTGGTCAGAGCTTGGCCTCTGACCCCAGAACGTGCGTGTGCGTCGGTTTTGTGATGTCTCACGCACGTTCGCGTGACCCTTGGAGGATGAACTATAAATGTGCGCGACCTCGTGATCGGCGCCATTTTGTTTGCCACTTGTGGAGGGGACGGACGCCCCAGCGGAACGGCTCCCGACTCGCTGCTGAACAGGTAAGTACACTAACCTGTCAGCGTGGTCGCACCGATCGGGGGCCAAGACACAAACACACACTACACCCCTCACACACAGTACACCCCTCACACACACACTGCCCACACACAGACTGCCCTCCTTACACACACACACACACACACACACACACTGTCAGGGATCTTGTCAGGGAGGTGGGAGTCCAGTAGGCAGAGATTTGTGCTCACATTTGCAGATATACACAGTCCAAGATGTTAAGGTTAGAAACCACCAGGACTGTGAATCTGTGCACAGGGGCTGTGCATGAAAGGTGCTCCAATTGACAGTACAGACAAGGACATAAGCAGAAGGATCGTCGAGGATAAGCCAAAGTCAGAGGATGCCAGAGGTCAGGATAAACAAGGAGGAAAGCCAAGGTCAAAAGCCGGGATCAATCTGGATAACAAGTATCAGGAGACAAAACAGGAACAACACACGATCACCAGAATCAAAGAACTGTCAATGTTCTCATGGAGACGAAGGTTTAAATACTGATACCGGAGAAACTGACGGAAGCAAAGCACAGAGGGATGGACACAGGTTTCTTCAGGAAGGAAGAGATTCTTTATTGGATCACCGATCGGGAC